CATAGCCAAAGTGGGGTGTAATCAGCAGAGCAAGCAAAACAGTACAAGCTCAGGGTGGATCACAATGTCACCACACATTCTGAGCACAAGTTCAATAAGCAATAATTTAAAGTTCACAACTATGACCAAAGCTAGTGGTAGTCACAACGGGCACGTGAGGAGGAGGAGAGAGAGTGAGAGGAGAGGAGAAAGGAGGCAACGGCTGAAGCTGCAGACACACGGGCAACAGGAGGCACGCTGGCACGGCGGCTACCGGAACAACGCTCCAGAATACTGGAGTAACTGGCCCCGCGGCAAAAGTAGCGGCAGACGAGCAACGGACCCACGGGCGGCTGGCACAGCTGACTACGACTGGGCTACCGGAGCAACTCCCCGGACTACAGGTGCTACTGGCGACACGACGGCAACCTCCACGCAGCTTCCCCAAACTATCCCACTCCCCCTGGCACACACCCGCTGCTACACCGCTAGCTCCACTCCCCCTTCACCCCCCCCTAAGTACCACTCCACCGGCTCCAACACGTCCACCCCCCCTCAGCGGCAGCCGCAGTACAGGGAGACAGAGGAGGAGGAGGAGCAGGGAACGGCACACAGTAAAGTCACCCCCATACCCCTCACCCCCAAACCCTAATTCAGGAGAATGGGGAGTAGGAGGGGTGGGGCGCCAGTAGAAGTACAGGGGGAATAGCGGGAGGGCAGTGGCAACGAGGAAGGGGCCCACCACGGGCCTGGAACAGACGCCCGAGCCGCGCGCAGGCGGCCCGAGCCGCGTGCGGGCCTGGCGCCGTCCGTACGGGCCGCGCGCGGGTCTGGCGCAGCCCATACGGGCTTGGCGCAGCCCGTACGGGCCACGCGCTGCCTGTACGGGCCGCGCGCAGGCCACAACGGGTCCACAACAGGCCACAACACACAGGTCCCCGTCGCCCGTCGCGGCGCCTCCTGAGGTCGACGCGCTGGGTGACGGGGTAGAAGCCCGCCGCGCGCCTCGGGGCGCACAGCGGGCAGAGAACCGCCGCGCGCCTCGGGGCGCACGGCAGGAAGAAAAAGTGCCGCACGCCACGGGGCGTGCGACTCACAGAGTAGTGTAGGTAGTTGCAGCGGAAGCAACGTGGTGGTAAGCCCACGCATAGGATCGATCCAAGGGGATCGACCTGCTGTGATAGCATGTGAAAGTTAGAAGAGAGAAGAGAATTGCAATAGCAAGAATGAGGATACAAATAGCAAACCCTAGAAGGGTTGTACTCGCTATAGAGCACCCCATTACAGGCTAGAGCATAAGATAACATTCTGACATGAACTGGCCTTGTGACCTTGAACTTGTGCTCGGAATGTGTGGTGACTTTGTGATCCACCCTGAGCTTGCTTTGCTTTGCTTGACTTAACTGGTCTTGTGACCTCTTGTTCTCCCCCACTTTGCCTATGGGGGTGTGTCAGAACATTATAGCTTATGCTTTTGTGTAGGCTGTAGTGGGGTAGCCCATATGGGGTACAACCCAATTAGGGTTAGCACTTGTACCCAACTGTTTCATAGTTCATTCATTTTTCGTGTTTCTTCTCAAGGGTATCGTTCTATTTGCGCATTAGCAGTTCGGGCCTTCTGCACAAGCACTGCGGGATGAGTTTTCCTAGAAGGGTTCAACCCTCCCGCGGCCTCGGTGAAATTTTCCGATAACGACAAAACGGTTTTGTAAATAGCCCATGTATTTTCCGTTCATCATGCCCAGTCTGCCCAGGATGCTCAAAATGTTTCATCTCAACCAGTCAAAAATCTTCAACCTTTGGGTTCACCCTTGCCTCTCGCCTGGTATCTTTTTTCTGGTGATTCATTTCATCCCAAAGTTTCCCAAAATCGGGCATTCAGATCTGCCCGTTATTGCTTGTGCATCCCCTTATTCTACCTCGGATGGGCGGATAGGGTTTGCACGAGCGGTGCCTCGAGTTTGCCCGTAACAGAAATTTCCCAGTAAGGTCCGAACGCACTAGTGGTGATGCGTTCTTGAACCCTTGGGCGCACAAGAAATGCTACCAGGTTCGGTACACAATAACGAGTTGGGAGGCTCGACATGGGCTTTAATCTCTGTCATGCACGATCCTAGAATATTCCTCGGGGGGGCCAAGCACCCCGAATGCGGCAACAGAACGATACCTCGGGTGCGGGAAGCTTCGTGAAATTTACTTGGGCACCAGTCGCGCTGCTTTGAAACATCCGGCCAAATCGAGGGTGTCTCAATACCTATGAAAAAGCTTTGCATTTGGAGGTTGGTTGAAGATGACCGCAAAACCCTACTTAACCGCTCTAAAGTGACCGCAAATGCTCTGAATCCAAGAATCTGGGAGCCTGGGGAGCTCCCCGCGGTGCAACCGCCCGCTTTTCCGTGGCTGCGGTGTTCCGCTTTTCCCTCCCCAAGCCTCGAGTCTGTCTCTCTCTACTTCTCGCTGCTGCTGTGTGTGAAATTGAAACGAGAATGAAGAAGAGGGGGTTCACTAGAAAGCAGTAGGATACATATAGGAAACCCTAAGGGGTTGTACTCGCTATAGAGTACCCCACTGCAGGCTAGACAACAATAACATTCTGACACACCCCCATAGCCAAAGTGGGGTGTAATCAGCACAATGAGCAAGCAGGCATAGTGCAGGAGTTCACAATAGGTAAGTAAGGCTAGAGCTAATCACAGAGGGCAAGTGAGGAGGAGGAGAGACTGTGGGGGAGAGAAGATGGGAGGCGACTGCTGACGCTGCTGACACACAGACGAGCTGCTGGCTCAGTGGCTACCGAAGCAAAGGCCCGGACTACAGGAGTAACTGGCTCCGCGGCTAAAAGTAGCGGCAGACGAGCAACTAACCCACAGGTGACTGGAGACTACCGGAGATTGTAGCCTCCGGACTGCTGGTGCTGCTGCCGACAAGACTGGTGCCTCCACGCAACCTCCCCCAGCTGCCCAACGCCCCTCTCACACACCCCTTGCTCAAACCCTAACCATACACCCACAGCACCCCCGTAAACCCTAAACCCCAGACGCCCACACATCCACCTCCCTCAAAACCCTAGCTCCACTCCCACAGTACCCCCCTTAAACCCTAAATCCCAGGCTCCCACACATCCACCCCCCTCAGCGACAGCTGCAGCAGTGGGAGACGAAGGAGGAGGAGGAGCAGGGGAGACCACACACCCGTCACCCCCTTCTTGCCACCCCCAAACCCTAACACAGGGCAGGGCGGGATGGCGGGTAGGGAGGGGGGGGGGGGGGGGGGGGGGTGGGCGACGCGCGGCCTCCCAGGGCGCCAAAGCAGGCGGCAGAAGGGGCGACGCTCGCCCCCCCCCCCCCCCCCAGGTTGCCCCTCAGGTCGCCTCGACAGGCGACGGGAAAAGGGGGGAGGGGCGGTGCACCAGTGCGCCGCGGCTGGCGGCGGGGCATGGCTGGGGCGGGGCCGGGGCCGCTGTAGGCGACGACGGGGCCGAGGAAGGGCGGCGACGGGGCCGCTGAAGGGCGGCGACGGGGCTGCTGAAGGGGTGGCGGCAACGGGGCCGCTGAAGGGGCGGCGACGAGGCCGCGGAAGGGCGGCAACGGGGCCGCTGAAGGGCGGCGACGGGGCCGCTGTAAGGGGCGGGGGCTGCAGAAAGGGCGGCGTCGGGGCCGCTGAAAGGGTGGCGACGGGGCCGCTAAGGGGCCGAGAGGGGCCTGGAAGGGTGGCGACGGGCTGCAAAAGGGGCGGCGACGGGGCCGCGAAGGGGCCGCGAGGGGCCTGGAAGGGCGGCAACGGGGCCGCGAAGGGGCCGCGAGGGGCTAGGAAGGGCGGCAACGGGGCCGCTAAGAGAAGCGCGAGGGGCACACCACGGGGCGTGCCGAGCACAGAGTAGCAGCGGAAGCAGTTGGGTCCTAGGATCGGAACCACTCTGATGACATGTGAAATTGAAACGAGAATGAAGAAGAGCGGGTTCACTAGAAAGCAGCAGGATACATATAGGAAACCCTAAGGGGTTGTACTCGCTATAGAGTACCCCACTGCAGGCTAGACAACAATAACATTCTGACACTGTGACCAGCGGCACATCTGCCAACACCAGCCACTAATCTCCCTTAGAAATCCGCCATGCCAGCTCTTCTCATTCACAACTCCTTCCAACACAAGCTACAATGCTGCTGGTCTTCGTAGTTCGATTAACTTCCTCGTTCATCCAGTCCGACATGGCCTCATACTATCCGTCGTTTATTTCCGCACTTAGCTTTTGGAAGAACATCGAGAAGCAGGCAAAATCGTGCCTGCAGCAGCTGTTTACCAACAACAGCACGAATCTCACCGCTACAACGCCAATGCTGCTCGAGCTGCCGGAGGTGACGTCGGACACTGAAGCGTTGCATGCTGAAGCGTCGCATGTTGAAGCATTTGATGCTGCAGCTGTGGAAGCGAAACTGATGCCGTCAGATCCTGAAGCACAGGATGCTGAAGCCTCGAATGCAAGATTGTCGGATGCAGCAGTCTCTATCGTTGCAGCACCGCATGCCGCGGCATCAGAGCCGCTCGTTTAGCTCCAATGGCTCTATCTTTGGCGGCTTGTGCAAAGTCATCGAGTACGGTCGTAGCGTCTCGCATCCCGAAACCGAGCAAGGGAGCGATTAGGAGGCGAGTGGAGGGAACAACACTGATTCCCAGGCCTAAATGCGCCGCACCGCATAGGGAGGTGAGGGGAGTGGAAGTTGAAGCTGCAGGCAAGCGGCCTCGTAGGACGTCCAAGGCCGTGCTGGCTGCAATCCCACGTCGACCATGTCGCCCTTGACTGCTGCACGCATAAAAAAATAAAAGAGAAAAAAGGCAAAAAAAAAAAGCTATCACTGAAATCCTTGAGAATAAAAAATGATGAAAATGGAGGTTGAAAAGAGGAGAGCTTGGGGTATGAGATGGATGGATGGCATGAAAGGCATGTGAGAGGCACAGCACAGCAACATGCCGAGAGCACCGACTAGGGGATGGGTGTGGTGTGGATGGGGAACACGGTGGCACTACCCTTTTTTGCGCCCTACTTCACGGCAGGGTGTTTGTGGGAGTGTGGTGGGTGGTTGATGGCTGGAGGGGGTGAGGGAAAGCTGTTGTGCTGCTGTGCCTTCAATGACACCTCCAGGCTTGAGAGCTCCTGACGGATGACTCCAGGCTTGAGAGCTCCTGACGGATGGCTCCAGGCTTGAGCGCTCCTGACGGATGGCTCCAGGCTTGAGCGCTCCTGATGGATGGCTCTTGGCTTGAGCGCTCCTGACGGATGGCTCCAGGCTTGAGCGCTCCTGACGGATGGCTCCAAGCTTGAGCGCTCCTGACGGATGGCTCCAGGCTTGAGCGCTCTTGACGGATGGCTCCAGGCTTGAGCGCTCCTGACGGATGGCTCCAGGCTTGAGCGCTCCTGACGGATGGCTCCAGGCTTGAGCGCTCCTGACGGATGGCTCCAGGCTTGAGCGCTCCTGACGGATGGCTCCAGGCTTGAGCGCTCCTGACGGATGGCTCCAGGCTTGAGCGCTCCTGACGGATGGCTCCAGGCTTGAGCGCTCCTGACGGATGGCTCCAGGCTTGAGCGCTCCTGACGGATGGCTCCAGGCTTGAGCGCTCCTGACGGATGGCTCCAGGCTTGAGCGCTCCTGACGGATGGCCCCAGGCTTGAGCGCTCCTGACGGATGGCTCCAGGCTTGAGCGCTCCTGACGGATGGCTCCAGGCTTGAGCGCTCCTGACGGATGGCTCCAGGCTTGAGCGCTCCTGACGGATGGCTCCAGGCTTGAGCGCTCCTGACGGATGGCTCCAGGCTTGAGCACTCCTGACGGATGGCTTCAGGCTTGAGCGCTCCTGACGGATGGCTCCATGCTTGAGCCTTGTAGGGAGAGTTAGAAACTAAGCAATATGTGAACTATGTACTGTAGACCCTTCCGTTGATATAGTTGCCTATGCATTTTTAAGCCTTGTCATTCATGCCCACTTGCGATTGTTGATTGGATATTGGCGTTTAATCGGGCAATGACAACCAAAAATAGGAACCATACAACAGTATTGCAATGCACTTCCATGTCCCTGCTTCCTCACTTTTTCACCATACCGCATTGTTTCACCATACCTCACTGTTTCACCATACATCATTGCTTCACCATATCTACTCTTTCACCATACCTCACTGTTTCACCATACCTCACTGTTTCACAATACCTCACTGTTTCACCATACCTCACTGTTTCACGGTACCTCACTGTTTCACCATACCTCATTGTTTCACCGTACCTCACTGTTTCACCGTACCTCACTGTTTCATGATACCTCACTGTTTCACCATACCTCACTGTTTCACCGTACCTCACTGTTTCACCATACCTCATTGTTTCACCATACCTCATTGTTTCACCATACCTCACTGTTTCACCGTACCTCACTGTTTCATCATACCTCACTGTTTCACCATACCTCACTGTGTCACCATGCCTCACTGTTTCTCCATACCTCATTGTTTCACCATACCTCGCTGTTTCACCATGCCTCACTGTTTCACCATACCTCATTGTTTCACCGTACCTCACTGTTTCACCATACTTCACTGTTTCACCATACCTCACTGTTTCACCATACCTCCTCGTTTCCCCATGCCTCCTCATTTCCCCATGCCTCCTCGTTTCCCCATGCCTCCATGTTTCCCCCATGACTTCCTGTTTCCCCATGTCTCCCTTTTTCCCCATGTTTTCTCATGCCTCTCCATTTCTCCATGCCTCCCCATTTCTCCCTGTTTCCCCATACCTTATTGTTTCACCATGCCTCCCCTTTACCCCATTTTCCCCTGTTCCCTCATGCCTCCCCTTTGCCCCATTTCTCCCTGTTCCCTCATGCCTCCCCTTTACCCCATTTCTCCCTATTCCCTCATGCCCCCCTTTACCCCATTCCTCCCTGTTCCCTCATGCCTCCCCTTTACCCCATTTCTCCCTGTTCCCTCATGCCTCCCCTTTACCCCATTTCTCCCTGTTCCCTCATGCTTCACTATCTCCCCAAACCTCGTGTTTCCTCATCTCCCACTTTGACCATGCTTCCCCATGTGTCTCTGCTCCCCATGCCTCACTATTTCCCCATGCCTCACTATTTCCCCATGCCTCCCTGTATCCCCATGCCTCCATGTTACCCCTGTCTCCTTGTCATGGCTTCTTTTTTCCCCATGTCTCCTAGATTCCCCATGCTTCCCTTTTCCCCATTCTTGTCTCACGCCTGACTGTTTCCCCATCCGTGCATCCCCATAGTTCCCTCGATCTCCATGTCTCCCCATTACAACATGTCTCACTCATTCACCACTACTTTTTGTCTCCCCATATCTCCCTGTTTTCACATGCCTCCCATCTTCCACAAGACTCGCGGTTTTCCAAAAAAAATCAGTTTTTTCATGCCTCCCAATGTCTGCCAATATCCCTAAGTTTTCCCTTCACCCCATTCCTCACTAATTCCCCAAGCTTCGCTTTTGTCCTATTCTTGTCTGATTCCCCATCCCTCCCTGTTTCCACATGTCTCCCAATTTCCCCAACCTTCCCTTGTTCCCCATTCCTCTCTGATTTCCATGCGTACCTGTTTCCTCTTGTCTCCCATCCCCCAAGCTTCCCATTTCGCATTCTCCTCTGTTTCCCATTTCCCATTTCCCATTTCCATGCGTGTGTGCGTGCGTGTATGCGTGCGTGCGTGCTTGCGTGCGTGCGTGCGTGCATGCGTGCGTGTTGCACATACCGGTATTTTGCGTGCTGAATTTGAAATTATGTATTTTGTCTCAACCCTCAATATTGCTCTGCGTGCCGACGACCATGCAAACCATTATGTGAGGTACGGTAAAAAAGCAGTCTATGTTTTCACCGACAGCAGCTGTATTCTCTTTAACAGCATCTGTTGTAAACTGCAAATTACTAAAAGTGATCATAGTATCATGACGCTAATAAGAGTAGAGAATATCTGAATATATGGCTCATTGGGGTGGAAGCTTGAGATGGTTTGTGTTTGTTACGAATAGTGATATGAGAAAAGGCATTGTGCACTCCTAACCGCAGCAAGCGAAGCACACAATGCCGAGGTGCGAAGAGTCGCGTTTGGTTACGGAGCATCTGGACTGCTAGGGCAGGCAGCATCAAGCAACAGAAGTGGCGAGGATTCTGCCCAAACAGTTCTGTAACCGTCTGGAGTCGCACGGTTTGATTTTGCAGCAATAAGAGAATGTACCCCTTAGAGTAGATTGCTAGTCTAGGTGGTTTCGTATTCCTCCTGTACTCTTATTTATATGCATGTATTTGCATGTTTTTATGATCACAATCATTTTACATTCACTCTGATTTGAGGTCAAGGGCCCACCACTACCATTCAATTGTGTGCGAACCTTTCTGGGGTGATCCTAGGGTCGATCAATATCTGATCCCAGCATGGTATGAGAGAGACTCGGGAATCCTTCGCACGCTCACGTGTAAGGATGGCCGGAGGATCTGGAGGTCTGACAAATCTGACCGCTGAAGCGCAACCCAGCCTGGTGTCAGGATCTAGTCTAGGTAACTAGAGTAGAGAGGAGAATGGCCGATTAGGTAAGGGGGGGGATACAAGAGTGTCGAGAAATGTTCCGTACCCTCTAAGGATAACCCCTACATAGTATAGAAAGATAGAAAGCATACATTGTTTTGACACACCCCATAGCTGAAGTAGGGGATAGCCAAACCAAACAATGGTCACAAGACCAGTCAGAAGAAGCAAGCAAAGCCCAGGGTGGATCTCAAGATCACCACGCATTCTGAGCACAAGCAAGCGGGCACAAAGCCATTTCACATGCCGAGTTATAAGAGCAAGGCAGTACACTGATCACAACCTAGCAAGAGTAAACATGCAGGTATAAAGATATATATCAGTGTTCGGTACAACAAGTGCAAGATCAAGAGGCAAGCAGGTGAGGCAGAGTGGGCAGAAGCCCAAGAGCGGTACAAAAGCGCTGATGATCACTAGACTCGAGAACCTTGGTGAAGACATCAGCAGTGTTGGCCCGAGAGGCCACGTAGGAAAGACGAAACTGACCACGCTGCTGCAGCTCTCGAGCAAGAAAGTAGCGAAGAGCAATGTGCTTCGTTCTGTGCTCCAATCTCTGATCATGACACAAGGCAAGCATGGCCTTGTTGTCAACGTACAGAACTAGAGGAGAGCGAGGCCGCTCCCCCAAGTTGGTAAGCAGGTAGGTCAGCCAGCGTAGCTCCAGTGCAACCATAGCCCTAGCATAGATCTCGGCCTCACATCTTGAACTAAGCACAGAAGACGATTGAGTGGACCTCCATGAGAGAGAACCAGAGCCAAGACTGAAGGTGTACCCCTGTGACGACCGCTGAATCACCTGGTCGTCGGCCCAAGAAGCGTCTGAGTGACCTGTGAGTACCACTGAGTCCCGTCCTCCAAGAACAACCCCATGCCCGATGTACTGCACAAGTAACGTAGTACCCTCTTTTCAGCTTCCCAGTGCACCTTTCGGTATCTACCGGGAGCCACGTAGCGAGCCAGGAGGCTGAGAGGGTATGCGAGATCAGGTCATGTGCATGTCCTCACGTACATGAGGCAACCCACTAGCTCTGGATACTGACCACTCGGCTCTATGGACTCGTCTGAAGGTGGAGCTGAGAGCGAGTGGACTGTAGGCAGAGGAGTGGGCTGTGGCGAGGACCATGTGAAGTCGAAGCGCTAAAGGACCTGGTGCACCATGTGAGACTGCGTCAGGGTGATGGTGCGCCGTGCTCTGTCTCGGGTGATCTGCAAGTCAAGATAGCTCCGCAGCTCACCAACGTCAGTGTAGGTGTGTCTCTCCTGTAGCTTTGCCTTTACTAGGGTCAATGCTTCATTGTCAGCAGTAGCAAAAACCAAGTCGTCGACGTACACGAGAACGTAGAACAGCGGCAGAGAAGTGTCGGTGCGTAAAAACAGCGGCGGGTCAGCAGAGTAAGGAACAAACCCAAGAGCCGCAAGTGTTGTCCTCAGTGTGTCGTGCCACTCGTGAGGCGCCTGGCGGAGACCGTAGACTGGTCGCCGGAGGCTCTAGTGGGTACCCGCAGGGAACGACCCAGTGGAGCCAGGTGGGCGGCGCAGCCAGATCTCCTTGTGAAGGCTGCCTTGCAAGAAGGCTGTAGAGAAGTCGAGGGAGTGCAGCTCGTAGTCACACTGGAGTAGTCATCTTTGGGGTGGGGGAGAAGGTCTGGAAGAATTCGACCCCCTGTCGCTAACCAAAGCCTCGAGCAATGTAACACGACTTGAAGGCAGGCGGAGAACCCGGCGGCCGCTTCACTCTGAAATTTCACATGCCATCGACTATGTTCGTCCCAGAAGGAGGAACCTCGTCGACGTAGGTGCCTGTAGACTTCTTGGAAGTCATCTCTGCGTCCATGGCTATTTGCCACTTCGAGGAGTACTCACCCGCGATCGCCTCAGCGTAAGAGCGCGGGGTAGGGATGTCAAGTGCATTCGGGTCTCTCTCAGGGCAAAGCAGCATGGATGCGAAACGAGGTAAAACGATCGCAAGACACTCAAGCTCAAACTGCCTGTCCTCAAGGATGTCACTGCTAAGGGCAGGCTGACCCCCAACTAACGGAGGACACACAGACTCAGACTCAGTAACAAGACTCGAGACGTAGTCGAGACGACTCCTAGCTACAAAGTCGACTAGCTCAGTGACTAGGGCAACCGCAGCAGTAAGACTCAAAGTCAGGGCCAGTGACGATAGTAGCGAGGAGACGAGTGACAGTAGGACTGGCAGCACGAGCAAGGTCGGACTCAGGGTCGGGAACGTGCGGAAGAGAGGATGCGGGAGGCTTAGGCAAGACAACACGCTGTGGAACAGAGGAAGGACGAAGTGCCATACCGTGAGTGCCTGGGACAGCAGGAGGACGAGGAAGGGCGACACGAGGAGCATGAATAGGCGTGGAAGCACGAGTCTCAGGCTCACGACGCGTAGTCAGGGACTCAGTCAACTCAGTGTGAGGAGCAGGAGCGGGCAGCGGGGAGCCAGGCAGTAGCTGTGGTTGAGACTCGTCTGTCGGTGGAAACAGGAGAGGTGGAGTGAGGCCAGTGGAAAACGGGAGACCCA